CCGGGTATGTATTATATTACGAGTATATTGAAACGCTTCTCGACGACGAGAAGATTTGCGGACCGGGTAATTTATCGGGTGCGGTGGTGAACTTTTCAAAAGCAAACCGTGCTACGGATTAGACACAGTATAAATAAATGAACGGATAAAATATTGCAAGAGCTGATTTAAAACCAACAGGATGTTGCGTGCCGAGCATCCTACGGTGTGCATCATTTTATAAGGCCTGATGATGATCGAAGCGCGTCCTCTGAACCCGGAATTCGTTTATTCGTCTTACAAGCGCGTCAAAAACGTACGATTATCGATTATATAGGGTGATAAACATGAAATTGTACACTAATTATCTCAGAAAGTATTAAAACAATATTGGACCTTATTTTCTCTTCAAGACGTTACAAAATGTCCATAATAGTCTGCTGATTTTTGAGCTATTTAGAAAGTTATTTGAAATTGTCGAGTTTTTAGTTTTTGTACAAAGAAATTTGATTTGGTCCAGCAAAAATGGTAGAAAAATTTTAACGATATTCAAAATTCAAAAAGAGAGGGATGTAAAAAATTTTAAATGCAATCCTAGAAATAAAGATATTGTAATAAATTACAGGTAATAATAAACATTTTTTATTTCCATATTCTTTGTTCATGAAAATTTTAACAATGGATAGTTTTGTGAAATTGACAATATTTCCAATGTAGAATACAATTTATTTTCATTTTAAATAAAACATGATTTTATATACAAATGACATTGAAATATTTTTGATATTTAAGCAATATCGTAAATAAGGTCAATTAATAACATAATAACTACATCATTATTCTTTATTAGACAAAGGTATTTCTATGATTTTGCATATTTTTTTTGGTTAACTTTAGTCGCATGCTTATTAGGTACATGATGCTTTTTAAAACGTCTATCATAAAATACTCAAAGCTTTTAATGCATATTTTGACATTTATGGATTAAAAAGACATATTTTTTATTAAAAGATTATTTTAAGTTTTTAATACATATTTTGATGGTATGTCGAAAATCAAGTACTAAGATGAATATTTTTCATGAATAATTTTTTGAATACTTCCTACGGGTACATAGACAATATAAAATAATTAAAATAAATTAAAGATTTAAATAAAAATATGAATTTCAAGTGTAATAAAATAATATATGTATATGTATTTTATGAATGCGTAATTTTTATTAATTTTTTTTTTTTTGGTGCACACGTGCATATTTTTTTAAAAAGCATATTAAATGACTTTTAAGTGCATGCAGGCCTTTGCTTTATTCCTTATCATATAAATTCTCCAAAGAGAATACAAAGTGTATCCCAGAGCGGTTATACTATGTAAACCAATATAAAGGCATATTTTTGAATTCAATTTGTATTTCAATAAAATATCTAGTAACTCTCAGAAATGAGAGGTAATATTACACGTAAAAGACCATTCTATGATTCCTTTGATATAAGTTTGAATAAATATGATTTGTATTTAAAATACACAAAAGTACATTTAATATAGGAGTCGTAAAGTTGTTTTCTTATTATTTCCTTTTTTGTAAATAACTAAACAAACATTTTTATGCAAATGTGATATTTTCCAATTTTTTGAATTCAGGTGAATGACATAATCAACATTAATTTTAAAAATAATCTTGGAAACTTACAACCTTTCTCCTATTGTAAAAGGTTGTGCATCATTTAAGAAGTTTACTGTTAAAACATTGCTAATGGAATAAGAGACAAATGTTGATTATAATGACCAGAGTTGTTCAGTTCCTATTGTAAAATATATAATTACAATGTATGTACGAAGAAAATATTCAATTTATTAATATTTTTATGCTTAGGGTGTATATGTTTCAAATTGTTTTGATATTACAAGTTTTGTGACAAATTTCAATGAACCAAAATAATTTTTTTATAAGTTTTTCAAATGTTCGATATGCATTTTTTGATAAAAAAAAAAAACAACTAAATGGCCTGTGTGTAATTTATTGAAAACATTAAACAACCGTGGGAAATCGAATAAATCATTTTATGGCGTTTTTGTTTGGATATGACATTGATTTTATCAAACAGTGTACCATATTACTTTATTATTCTATACAAGGTGTTTAAAAAAATTAAATTACTAGCAGTTTGAAATACAATTATTCATTATTTTTTTTTATTCCATTTGTGTATAATGTTTAGTTTTTTAGCGTAGCACAGAATTTGCATAATGGTTTTACTATGATGCGTATTTTTTTGTGTCTGTTAATAATATGTCTACCAAAAATCCTATATCATGTGCATCTTGACTTGTATAGTCTGATACGTACTATACAAAAATAGTATACTTATTCTCAGAATCAGTTCTTTTTTTTTTGGCATCATAATTCTTCAACTATTTTTACCGCCACCAACAGTGCCTTACACTCTTCGCGATTATGTACTTTATCTTGCTAAATTACTACTATAATAAAACATAATATAAAACACGGTGAAATTCATAATTTTGTATTTTTATGTAGGCCAATGGAATTGGTTTATTTTATGTTTACTGTCAAGACAATGAATAATGAGATAATATTCCTTTCGGATGGTATTGTTTTTCTTTGTACGCCAGAATCCCAGTTCGTTGGCGTAATTTTGTGGTCGCACCTACACAAACTTTACAATTATTTGTCTTTCTTTTAATCTTCTAATCGTTTCTAATCGAAAAATCTTGTGTTGTGGACGTTGTGGTGGTTATACTTATACGTTTTAAATGTTAAAATTTATATTATAATTAATGGACAGGACATTGGTTTTAAACAAACATTTTTGTTCAATTGTACCGAATTGAACAATTGTAAATATTTTATTATTTTATAGAAACTAAATATCATTTAGAGAGTGTATAAATGTGTAAAACCTAAAAAATCACTTTCAAAACTGGAGATGCGCGATAACAACAATAATAATGTTTATCCGTCCAAATCGTGTGGGAAATAATAATTATTATTGTTATTGTCAGGCGGGTTTTGTTATTTTTATTTCCCTATACGACGAACAGTTCCGTTAAAAACGACCATGTATTGTAAATACGCCGAAACAATAAAACGGCGCGCGATGTGTTTACAGAATATAGGCAGTATTTTATTTTTTGCGGTCCGCTGTTAAACTCAAGAAAATGTCGGCAGCAATTCATTTTCAATCGAAAACTGTGTGCTCAGCAGACTGACTGGATTTATAATTTTTGTTAATTGATTTCCACAAATACACGAATTTGGAAGAAAATTATGCGGAGTATTGCAATGTGTCATTATTATGATTGCATCGGAACAACAAAATCTAGAGACAACTGATGACAAAACAAAAGTTATGGAGTAATTCATATTACCGATCAGTAATTATGTTGATACTGTTTTAGTTTAAGAACAACACAGAAGAATCTCGATTATTCGAACGTTATCGCGGCTGGTATATCGATTTTATCATCCTTGACGTAAATTATTATTATTACATTATCTACATAATTCAGTGAGCCCCACTGTGTTCGACTGAATTTTCTTGCGCTGTTAATATTCCTTTTTTTCCAATTTTTTTTTTCTAATCTGTCCGAGGAAGACATCAATTTTGAGAAAAATTAAAGATAAAAAATAAAAATAATAACTTTTTATGTATTCACTTTAGACAATTTTCAAAATAGCGATTTGTAAAAAGATTATTCAAACATTTTTAATGCATCACATATCAATATTTGACGAATCAAGAGTTATAGCCGTTCTAATTAGCTGTGAAAACAATAAAATAACATGTTATGCGATAAGGAACTATAATCAGCCGGGTAATTCTTTACCTTCCATTGAATATTAACTTGTACTCTTATTTTCTAAAAATTTAAACGGCTATAATTAAGAAACTGTTAATCGGATATAAATGTCTGATACATTATAATTTTTTGAATAATATTTTCCACAAAATTTTCTCAAATGAATAAATACAGTTTTTTTTTTTTTATTTAAGGTATGAAAATAAAAATTTGATTTGTCTCCAAATCGATGTCCCCCTCAAAGACGAAACGATTGAAAAACAAAAAAATCAATTGAAAACAAATTATTATAACAACGCTAGAAAATTAAATTAAATCAATTTTAAATTTGTGACGAGTATTATCAAAAACATTGCTAAACGTTTCGTATTGTTGTTCGTATTTTTGTAATGACACAACATCGTCTGTAGTGTAAACATATGATACTGAATAACAATGTTGATATTATGTTCTGAAATGAAATTATTCACGTAGTTATTTTCTTATCGAACATGATTCAATATCATCTGCATACAAAATCGCTTTTGATTTATTTGTTGAAACTCGTCTCGTCTCTTTCCCATCAACTAATAAAGAAATGTAATGTTATGCTCACATAACATAATATTATAACTGTATAATTATTTATTATTTATATCATTACAAAAATGTAACTAAAAGATTCAAATATGGCCGAGTACTTGGCATTTCACAAAAGGAAAATAATTTAATAAATCTAACGGTTCGTTCGCTATTCGAGAGGGATGCAAGCTTATCTACAAGCAAAATAATTTATATATGTGTCAAATATAACAGAACTGCATGCCATCTGCTACGGCCCTTTGAGGACACTGCCGCCTCAGTCATACTATTGTATATTGTCTTCTTTTCACAATTCGAGTATTACTTACTTTATATCGACATAGACGCGATTGCCGTCTGTTTCATCTTTTTAAGCACACAAATTCCAGTGGTTTTCTATCATTCGAGAAAAATCAACATCCAATCATTTACCATCATTTAGAACATTNATTCTTTCACACTATATACCGTTACAATTATTTCAATACAAATTTCAAATCTACGCATAACACTTTATTTATGGTTGACCTTTTTTTTTTTATTGGCTTATATAAACACATAAAATGTAACGGTGTTTTCTATTGAAAATTAAGCGTCTTGATCCCTCTAGAAACCCCAAGACGAACACTCTGTCGAGAATCCCACACACAGCAACAACTACGCTCCACCTACTTCTTTCGAGGATCTCTCTCGAATAGCTAGAATTGTGATTGCCGTCCAACGACTCCAGGTTCACGTGAGGTTATCTATAAGTATACACCCCAGCGTTCCAACACCGTGGGCAGGTAATATAATTACATTTTTCTTTAGTTATTCATTTCGTCACCATTCTCGGATTCACGACTCCGAAACCCTTTCAAACATAGGAAGGAAGGTAGTAATACAACTAGTAGGCTGAGCCTTTATTATGATTAGAGATAAATTATTCTTTGTAGTACCAAAACTTAGATCGAGCGTTTCACACTACATAAGCACATTTTTATACCTATTCCTTTATATTACATTCTTTATAGGTATTTCTACGTGATTATCTTATTATTTTAAATATAATTATCTTCTACTTCTATACATAGTGTCCTAAGTCTACTATCCCATTAACCACGCCTCTCTCTTTATATCATCCCCCGTCGTAACTACTTTTAACTCACCCTCTCATTTGCTCCCACCCCATTCCCCTTTTCTTTATTTTTCTTTACCTTTCCTATTTTTTGTATTACTACAGAAATACGAAAAATAACTTAACTATGCCAATAATAAATATACGATTAGTAGGTTGTAGGTATGTATAGTATATCCTTTATACATATATGATAATCTCGAAATTTGTTTAGTACAACATTCGTGTCAAAATGCGGTTACAAGATATTTGCCGTCTCCTCAGTCTTTCTCTAAATTAAAATTCACGTAAAATTGAATATTTACAAAGCAAATATTTAGTATGCAATTTTATTCTCATTCGAAATATTTTTTATCGATATTTTACTATAATCAAGCAATAAATTGAAGATAATAAATCGATATTCGTAAGATTTTTGCTACCATATCTAGCGATCATTGACCTATGATGTAGAATAAAATGTGTACGTGAACGTTGTATTGGAAATAGTAATTCAATAGGTAAATAGATCATTTGATTATTCGAAATAAATACAAACATATATTATTATTATTATTATGATGATTAAATATCAAACATAGTAATAATCTCTCTATATTGATAATCAAAATCGACTTTCTTGATCAATAATTAGATTTAAACAATCCAACAAAAGAAGGTCACTTTTTGTTTTTTTGTTGATGCAATATTAACGATAGAAATTTATGACAAGTTTATACTAATGAAATCTTCGTGTCAAAATTAAAAAAAAAAAAAATCAAATGATATCTATTTATCTATTTTGTTTGGTTTTTTACAATTATCATAAAAACTATTTCGGATATCAAAACACATTTCTTTCTTTGTCAGTAGCTATATATTAAAAGAAACGACATTTATCAATTGTTATCTGTCAATTGAATCACCATTTCTAAAAGAAAACATAAACTGCAATAATAAAATACTATGAAGACGGAAACGCCACGCACATTAAATATCGGCAGCTTTACCTATAATTTTCTTTCAGGTATTACCCAATTATTTTGAAAAACCCTTAGATATGTTACATACAATGTCCGGAATTGTACATTTCGTAATGTCTACAGTGATTTTTATACACATCGTAAACTGTACAAAGTAACTCACATTCTAACCAAGATCATGCAGTTTTTCACATAAAAATCGTCATTATATTATACAACCGAATATTTTATTGAATCTTTATATTAATAAAAAGTAAACATTTTTTTTTCTTTAGGGACATTGGAATATTTTTATGTTTTTGTATTGCAATATCACATATTACCAAGCGAAAAACATTTATATCACATTTAATATCACAGTTAATGTAATCCGTGACGATTATAAGATAGATTCATATCATTCATCGATATTATTATCACCGTGAAAAGTATATTCAAAGGATAAAATAATGACATTTTTCGGTTATTGTAATAACTCCGTCGACTTGTAAACTGGTACGGATGTACCAATGAGTACCAAAACAATACCTTCATATTTCGTTTTTTTCTTCTAAAATTGTATGCTCATTTTACAAAAATATAACTTTTTTTGTAATTATATAATAGTGTAGCGGCCCATATAAGAACCAGTTCACATGGAACATTCTCAATTTCCGATAGGCCAATTCGTCCCTAAGTATACTAATATGTAAAGATATAATATATAATATCCACGTATTTTATTTTATTTCAAAATATGTACAGTGATTGTTGTACGCATCCCGATTGTATAATGTAATTGAATACAGTCTTGTTACTTTGTACAGCGACTTTGCACGGTTCGCGATGTGTTCAGAAATCACTGTACACATCGAAAAATGTACCGTTCCGGACTTCGTATGTAACATACGGATGCTTTTAAATTATTATTATTTTTTGGATCAGCTTTTGAGATTAAGATTAAGATTTCCCAAAATAATCTATACAAACAATTCATAATAACGCTCTTTGAGCATAAACTTTGATAAGTTCTCTTAAATTAAAGAAAAATAAATCATAAATGCAAATTATGGTACTAGAAGACGACTCTTCGTCTGGATTGGACGTAATAACTGTAAAAATCGTAAAATTACATTACTAAGCTCTAATTAATTTACCTTTTATTAGGCTATTTCAATAGGTACTGTACTAATTAATTGAAATAGTAAGTAAGTACACCATTTATAAAAAAATATACTAATCTAATATTGAAAATTATCTCTAAATCCCTCAATTATCCAATATTGCTAAACAAGATTGAGAAACATATAAAATACGTGCGACCAAGTAACGTATCTTTAGTCAAAAAATTTATTAACTAAAACACAATTTGGTTTTAAACCTGCTAAAAATTCAGAACAACCTATTATAACAGCATCGAACTTTGTCTATAATTCTATTAAATAAAAACAAAAAAAAATTGATAACTGCAAAAATTGTATTTTCTAGATTTTATCATTATAATACATAAATAATTATTTTGTAAACGAACGACCTGTCTATTATGTAACTCATGGGCCACTACGAAATATATTCAATGGACTCCATTATTATTTTAATATCACGAATGTACAAGAATAAAAGTATTTTTTCTATGTGGAAAAATCAAAAGCGATTTTGTATGCAGATGATATTAAATCATGTTCGATAAGAAAATAATTACGTGAATAATGTCAACTCGGAACGTAATAATTCTACATTGTTATTCAGTAGCATACGTTTAGACTACAGACGATACGACATTACACAAATACGAAAACTGAAATACGAACAGCAATATGAAACGTTTAGCAATGTTTTTGATAATACCCGTATCATGTGTAGTATTGAAGAGCGCAAATAAAAACTTCTTCCCAAATCTTCCAATCGTAAGTAATTACAATTATTTACCAATATTTTTCTTTTATTTTACAAATACTTTATTTATTAATAATACAAATAGAAAATTATTAATTATTACCTATGAAACTATAATTTAAATGATTCCAGGGGGAATACAAAGTATATCCCAGAGCGATTATACAATGTAAACGATTGGTAGAACATGTATTTGAATTCAATTTGTATTTGAACAAAATATCTACAAACTCTTCAGAAGTTAGGGGTAATTTTACATTTAAGAAAGCATTAGATGATTCCTTCCAAGTAAGTATAAAATAAATATATATAAATATATAAGGAAAAATAAATCGTTTGAAAGTATTTTTTTTAGAAAAATATAACGTTGGAAAGTTTTTTTCGGTAAAATAATTCATCAGAAAATATTCCGTCGAAACAGTGTTTTGTTGGAATAATATTAAGTCAAACAGTTTTTTTTTCGAAAAACTAATTTATCGTTAAGTATTTTGTCGGAACTGTTTAATATAATTTCATCATGAGCCCTTCGTGACTGCATGTTATCATCGTTTCGGTAAAAAAACCATTCCTACAAAATAAAGTTCTGTCAAAATATGTTCCAATAAAATACGGTTTCTGAAAAATATTTTTCCGAAAAATTATGGTTCCAACACGCTTCCTATTACATAGTAACAAAATTGCCCAAGTGCATTTATTCAATTTATTAAATTGTATGTTAACATTAATTTTTCCATGTAGAAAGTAATAATTTTAAATACATTTTTTTGATATTATCCTTTACAGTCGGTTATTTTTAAAGCTGGAGAAAGAATATTATAGGGACAATTTAGCCATATTATTGCAATTTGTCATTTTTGGCATTTATTCACGTTTTGCAAGACGGTGATGAAATTTAGATACCTATAATTATGGGTGTAATGTGAAGAGGGGATCTATTGCATTTAAACCCTCTCCACCATTGCCATAATAATTTTAGATTCGGAGCGTAGCACGGGATCTATTGGTTTTACAACAAAGTGTATTTTTTTTTCTGCTTTTTTTAAAAGAAATATTGAATCGATGTATAATGTAGTACTTAATTTTGATTTGGTAGATTTTCTGTAGATAAACTGTTAGAATGGCTTGAAAATTTGATAGGAGGTAATTGTTAGAAAACATAATCTGCCATATTAATATAGGTTCTATGAAGACGGTAACGACGTGGCGTGCAGTAAATATTGACAGTTTTACCCAAAATTTTCATTTAGGTGTTTCCTAATTATTCTGAAAACCCATTATACAAATTAAAAAAACAACTTCCTCTACTAATTAGACGTAATTATCTTTCAGAAAATGTGCTACATTCTAAACATTAGGGCAAGATTTCTGGCACAAAAGTTGTTCACAGACACAAAAATTAAAAAAAAAAAACACATCTTAAAGCCAATAGATCCCTCGATTTCCTCCGAATCCTAAATAATCTATAAAAACTTTCATAACGTTTAACACTCGTTACCATAAACAAATTGTAATTATTGCACAATTTTAACAGAAAGTTATGTAGTTATTTGCGTAATGATAGTAATTATGTGATTTAAAATGAAAATTAAATTTACATTATTTCCATTTGACTTTAAAATATTTCAATAAAAATTGTATTATTCAACTAATTTAATGTGATGTTAAATATTTGTAAATATTTCTTGTGTACCGAATGACAAATTCAATAAAAATAACTTTTTTTTTTTTAGTTGAAAGTGAATTTTGCTGTCAAAGATTCAATTGGTGATTGGAAAGACAATTATTTTTTTTTCCAAACCCGGAAAGCATGTACATCAATTAAAACAATTTGTGGTAACCTATCATCAATGGTATTGGGAAGTAATAGTAGTTATAATGGCAAGGATTGTCCAGTTCCTGCTGTAAATATGATTGAAATGTATTTATAAATAAAATGTTCATAAAATAATTTTATGTTTAGGGTGTATATGTTTCAAATGGTTTTGATCTAACAAGTTTTATAGACAATGCGAATGTACCTAAACAATTTTTTTATGGGACTTACAAAATTCGAATTGAATTTGTTGACAAAAAAAACAATCAAGTTGGCTGTATAATTTTCATTGTAGTTTTCAAACGTCCGTGGGAAACAGAATGAATCATTTGACGATATCATGAAGTTATATTTATTTCCTTAAATAGAACACCTTTGTATCGTATGCCAGGTATTTTAAAAAAATCAATTAATGTAAGTCGATTGTGATTGTTCTTAATTGACTACATTACCTTTTTATTTTTTCATATTTTTTGTTTATAATATTTTTGATTTTTAGTATTTTTGATTTTTAGTGCACTGAAAAATATGTATTGGTTTGATTACATTAATTACTTGTTTTTTATTTATTTTATTAAAAATAAATTTGTATATAAATAAATAAAAAATAACAGACAAACTTTGCACGTGGGTGTAGCCACTGTTGTAGGTAGGAAGTTGGGAAGATAGGATACAGATGGGAATTCAATTTACATCTGTAATCAATGATAAACCATTGCTAGCGAAAAAACGATTCTGAGCGGGGTTTAGTTGATAGTGTTGCTTTGGTAACAATATAAATATCATAATATGGTACAATGATTACAACAATGTTTTTTTAAAATATAAACAATTTTACTTACGTATAATATTAAATTCAAAATCGGACCTAGTATTTGCATAGCAAAAATAAACTCAAAACTTCCCATTTGGTAAATGATATCGAGTCCTTTAGCACTTATATCTGATATCGGAATGTCTATTATTATCTGTCATATGTTAAATGGCAATCAACAAACCAGAATAATTATTTTGTACAGCATTGACCGCTTCAGATCGTCATGCCAATCTAATGCTTGATAATGATTTAAAAGTCTTCATTTTTATATTTATCAACTTTGACATATTTTTAAAAACTATATACCTGGTACAACTTCCTTCAATGAAGTTTATACCATTTGGATACACCCAAAAGATTTAAATGTCACATTGTCTTTGAATAGAAACAACTAGTATTAAGTTCTAGCAATGGCTATAGCATTTCACAAAAAAAAAGTTTTCTCCGTAAACTTTGTTTGAACACCTGTTATACATCCAGGCATAATTGCAGCTTCATCAAAACAAGTAGAAATAACATTTTTCCATTTTATTTCATATTCTTCAACTAAGTATTTTATTTAAAGCATCAAATCATACTTGTGGCATCAATTGTCATCGTTTGTTTCATGCATATAAATTGCTCTATTAGTCTGCATTTGGATTTATCAAAATATTTAACTACAACTAACAGTCTCATCAGCCATTAATGATACTTTTTCATTTATTAAAGCAACTTATATTTGTATCTTTTTGTATATAATTATTACAATAAATGGAATTTTTAGGTTCTGGTTTTTTTTATATTGAGTCAATATTAAAATAGGTACAGTCCGCAGGAGGGGCAGTTGTATAATCTACCCCCTCTCTGTAGTACTACTTATGCTTGGGTATCATTAAATCATTAGGTTCTCTGAACATAATATAATTCAGTAACAATAATTTGACCTATTATCGATTTATTTTATTATATTATATTTTAACCCAAACACGTGTACCTTTGGATTGTTTGACACTATTTTGTTTATTTTAAGCGAGACACTCAAAAGATGAAACAATGATTACATACAAATGCGTATAAACAATTGTATACACTGAATAACAATGAAAAAATAATAATAGAAAAATAATAAAACAAAAATAATTGTTTAAAATATTATTTACCTAGTTAGGAACATACATACGGATACAGTCGACGAGTCGCGTTTGAACTCGAGTATTACGAGTATACGGTAAATCTCCCGATCATTCATTAGCTTGTCGCGGATATAAAACTATTCATTTTACATAACATATATTATTATACGCATAATATTATACCATAAGTTTTTTCAAATTTATTTACGCAAAAAACGAGGGATTCGTTTTAGTTTTATTTCGGTACCGGTATTTATACGGGTGTCCCACGAGGATTTTCTAATTGCGTGGGAACGGGGCGAAAAATATTATAGGTACTTTAGCGGCAGAGTAAAGTTTACGATAATCCTGGCACTGAACAGACCAGCGGCTTACATTTTATATTTTTTTTAGAGTATTAGGGTTTAAGACAAAAAATAAACAGAAAGTAACTAGTATGCATGAGATGGTTAGGTTAGGTTAGATAAGGTTGAAAATGGAAAAACATTTACACATAACTTGAGTATTTTCCCAGTTGTTAGGTGCAATTTTTCGGAAAATTCTTATACAATATACATAATATATAGTTAGGTGTTAATTTTATCCGTAACGTCATTTATCACGTTTCGTTTTTTTTGTTTTTCCCCAACAATCCATTAAAACTTACTTAGGGGGCGGATTGGCGAGTATTTTCGGCTCGGGAAATATGGATCAAACCGGGCATTGCCCGGTAACTTTCCTTCTTCACCTCCCCCTCGCCGAAAAACTGTTATACATTTACATAAATTTCAAAATTCTTTTAGTTTCACCCATAAATGAGTAAAGTATATAATACTTATCATTATAGCTTTAGGTTAGCCAGATAAATTTAACCTGTTCTAACTTGAACTTAAAGTTTAATTTTATTACGTTTTTAAATATACGCAGTAAATATTTTTAACTATTTTTTTAATCAATAGACGTTCAATTTAAACTTAATATAAATACTAAATACATTTTATTGTTATTCCGACTGTTCATAAATTTTCGCTTCGTCTTTACTGTATAAAAATAATGGACACAATTTCTCCACAATCATTAATTTTTAGTTTTTTAATTAGAAAATTAAATTAATAATAATTAATTTTTTAATACATTAATATATTTTAATTGAAATTACTCATAATTAAGTACATGCACCTTAATAACTAAATTCTTTAAGAAACAATTTACTCTTGTTTTTCAATAGTTCAATTACTTGGTCTAAATCTATATTACTCAAAATATCTTTGTTCGAAACCATAAGCATAGAAGCTTCTAATTTATCTTCGTCCATAGTATTTCTCAAGTGAGTTTTAATTATTTTTAAAATTTAAAACGAGCGTTCGCGAGTCATCCTTTTTATAAATAAATGTTAAAGCAAATAAGTATAGTTCAATGAATAATAAATACATAACATTTAAGCTAAGCCAACAAAAATATTATTTAAAGCATTACCTGGGTTGAAGGAGCGTAAGTAGATACTTATAACCTAGTGTTAGTTGTTGATATCTATCACTATAAAGCTTATATTTCATCAATACATTAAATCAGCAAACGGCAAAATTTTCGCACATTTTTTTTCATTACAAGAATTTTTCATAATATTCACATCATCGTCTTGGTTTTTATCATTATCAGAAATAACATTATCAATATATGGTTCACCTAATATGTTATTATTTTTTCATTTTTATATTTTTAATTTATTCCAACTGGAGGCAAAATGTAATAACTCTGATTGTAAGCTATCCAACGTTATATCGTTATTAAATGTCTTAAATATTATGATAAGCGCATTTGAAGAATTTGGTGGTAAGCAATTTTTAAAATCATCAAAATGAATTGGCCACAAACATGTTAAGTCTATGTATATTTGATTGCTTTTTTTATATATATTTTCCCATGCTTTCTACTAATTTATCTATCACATTATTATATATTTCTACGGTACATTTTTGAAATGGATCAATGATCGGATCATCCTTTGTTAACTCTTTAAATGCGTTTTTTTTTTCTTAATCTTAATTTTGGCAACTCTGTTTCGATAGTTATATTGGAATCTGCTTAATTTTCATCTGTAAATGATTTTAGTTTATTATTAGCGTTAATATATGAATATAAAATACTCCGTAACTGGACGTGATCGCACAATGGTCAAAATCGAAATTACGGGTATTAATAAATACACGGTTTAATACACGTATACTTAAATATATGTCTAACCGTTTAACCGTATATTTTAATTAACCTGTATGAAATCGTAAGCCCTAGTATAGATATAAAGTAAAATATTCTAAATTTCTTTCAAACTCAATTATAGAACAGGACACTCGTCAGCAGTATTAGCCCCTTTTTTAAAATTTTTTTTTGATAATACAAATTAAGTTAATTAACAAATTGGTTTACTTGTCTACCAACGCAAAGATAACCGTAACAATGACGAACATAAAATAGAAATAAACCTAACAAAACTGCAATTTTACCAAAATGTATAACATAAATAATATCATTTTAAAGAATTTCCCCTACTGCAGAGCGATATACTTACGATATATTTTTATCGAATATCTAAAATATGTCGTTAGAGGAATTGTCGCCGTTTTAATTTTTAAGAGTGTTAAATACAGTATCGCCCGTTTCGTATAATAACATTTTAACGACGGTTCAAACTACATCCAAACCGCGAAACAAATCGCGAGGTACGAATATTGCCGTGTTGAAAAACGTTTTTGTAAAAAACGTCGACGGAAAAAAAAGTTTTATCATCGAAAATCCGCCGTGATGGAGGGGGGGGAATTATTACTACCACGAAGACGCGAAGCTGTAAAATCTGTATGCCTACTTAAACGATCCCACCGAGCCGGAGGAGCGACATCGATTACCGAAACATTCGCGTATTATACTTTTGTCGAATAAATCGGCGAAGTTTTAATCTGGCAATATAAAATAAAACGGCCATCGGAGCCCCGGGAACGAATCGTAACAGCGGACATAACGACATAATTCTGCGATAATTATCGCCGAACGACGCCGGAAATCGCCTATAATAACAATATAATATCATATTATTTTCGACGTCAGTGGCGATATTTGCAGAACGTCCCGCTTTATTTGATTTTGCGTTTCACTATCATTGTGCATTTATCATTAACCACTATCATCATTGTTATTATCGATTTACCTCTTTTTTTTCACTAGTATCCATAAAAGTGTTTCAAATTTAACGCTCGGTGAATTCATGCACTTTTTTCAATAACTTCGAGATCTCGGGTTAGGTTATAACTATAGGTATCGGAATAATATAATGTGTCAATAGGGAAGTAGGCAGGTATATTATGCTGGCAAATATGTTTACGAACGTTTCTTTTCACATATCGATTATGTTTCGGGTTTTTATTTTAATTTCGTTCGGAAACGTAATTATTGTTTATGGGAAATTGTGTACGCGCAAAAAAAAAAAAAAAAAATTAAAATAGAAGCGATTTAAACTATAGGCCACATAATCATTAACCACGATGAACTGTTTTATGTTTATTTATCAAAATGTGTATAGTATGTTAAGGCAAAGGTATGTTTGTCTATACTAACTTAGTCTTATGTTAAACTTTCAAAGTAAAATATATATTTCTATTTATTACACTTGTATATACATAATTTCATATCTATATTTTATATTTATATCTGAAGTTTAAATATTTGTAATTGCAAAATTTAAACCGTTTGTCAAATAGTTGATACTCGTGCGTGTTATTCCCACTGCAATTGTAAATGTAGACTAAACCTATATTGTCTCAGAACAAAAATTAATTAAAATTACATAGTTTGTTTAAGTAATAGTTTATTTCTGGGTACCTAAGTTGAAATGTACATGACAAAAGTAAAATTAAATTCTTAAATAAGATTGAATACAAAACAAATATTTATTTATATACTTTTAACACAATTACAAAGGACCATTATATTGTTTGTGATATCAAAAGTTCATAGACTGTGGCTACAAAATTAGAAAATGATATTTCGACAAAACTGATTGAATACAAAATTACCGAAAATAAAATAAGTGCCTTTTACATGTTATACGTATATTTTAGAGCATCGTTCCCCAAAATTTTTTTTCCGCCAGACCTCTTAGAAATAGTGAAAATGATCGCAGACTCCCTTCCCTCTACGCTTTTAAACATCAATATTATCGATTTTACATATACCATATAATACTTTCAATTTACGTTCGTCGACTTCATTCAGTATACGTGCGGCCCCTAGGGGTCCACAGACAACAGTTTGGGAAACGTTGCTTTAGAATATAGGACGATTTTTTAAGAGTATAGGAGGTGTATTATCAATTTAAATTTCAATGAATTGTTTCATTTATCGTTGAATGAATCATACTGTCTTTAAAAGGTTAAATATATTTACGATAAAAAAAATTACACAATAGAAATTCAAGATTTTTAAAAGACATTTAAAGTACTCGAATAACGACTACTTGGATGGCTTTTGATTTAAGTGTTGTATTTTTTTTTTTTATTTCATAAAGCTGTCAATATTAGGCTAAAATATAAATAAAAAGGGAAAATATGTAATAAATTAAAAAAAAAAAAAAACACAAACTGTTAAGAAATTACTAAATAAATCCAAAACTTCAATAACTAAAATAAAGATTTTAATCACTTAACAAAAAAAAAAAAAAAAAAAATATTTTANCCCTTAAAAAAAAAAAAAAAAAAAAAGATATTTTAAAGGAACGATAAATTTAAAAATTATTATTTTTCTCTAGTACTAAATTTTGCGATTCGATTTCGAAATATATAGTTCGTAATATCGTGTGAACATTAAGTTTTTAGTCATTCTGTCTTTAAAATTATATGTATAAGGTATATATAATTATATTGATACGCACATGGAACGTTATCAAATCCCGTTTTATAACATGTTTCCACTTTGGTAACGTAATGTAGCGATTTTTCTCACGTGTGGTTTTTCTTTTCTTGATTTATAAAATGTGTATTGAGTGAAAAATCCAATTTTAAACCATGGCAGATTATTTTAAGGTATACAAATTACGGAACTTAAAGAAGACTTCATCTGGATTGGATGAAATAACTATAAAAATCGTTAAATCTAATTACCAAAACCTTTATCACACATATTTTATTTGGCCATATCCAAAACTACTGTGCCAATTAGTTAAAATAGTAAGTAATAAAGCCATTTTACAAACACGGATACTTATCTAATATTAAAAATTATTCCCCAACCATTAATTATCTTGCTAATATTGAGAAATATATAAAATATGACTAAGTAACGTATCTTGAATAAAACAATTTATTAACAAAAACACAATTTGATTTTAAACCTGCTAAAAATTTAGAACAAGCAATTGTAACAGTATCGCACTTTGTCTATAATTCTATTGAATAAAAAATAAAAATATTTATCTGAAAAAAATTGTATTTTCTAGATTTTATCATTATAATATATAAATAATTATTTTGTAAACGAACGACCTGTCTATTATGTAACTCACGGGCCACCACCCGAAATTATTCAATAAGCTCCATTATTATTTTAAGATCGCAAATCTATATGTATAAATCAAAAGCGATTTTCTATGAAGATGATATTGAATTATGTTTGATAAGAAAATAATTACTTGAATTGTATTGTCCATTGATTTTCACATACCTATGAATTATTCAATTTATATGTTTGTTTTACACAAACAAAATAATGTGTTCATATTTATGAAAGAGAAAAAAATCTAAACACAGTTTGGCAATAAAAATATTTTATTATTATTTTGCGTTATATGCTTGTATTTGACATGATTAATTTTGGTTAAAAGATCTGTAAGATAGATAATTTACAATATATTGTAACAATATAATACAATATAATTTAACATATATTTTATATCCATTAAAATAATATTTTGTATAGATATAACAAAGCAAAAACAATTTTGAATACAGATCGTATTCGATATGAATACAGTTACGGAAATAAGGTTGAACATGACAATTAACATAACTATATTTTAGATTCTAAGTGAAGTGATGGTTTTTACAATGATGTTTATTTTTATCATTACTTTTTTTATCTTTGAATAACTTTTCAACCAGAAATATTACTCTTATTTACAAGTGTAAGACAATTTCTGAAATAAAATCTGATTAGGGTGGCCATAAAGAGACCATTTTTTTATTTTCGCAGCATTTTATTCAATACATTAAAAAAATCAGAAAAAAACTGAAGAAAAACGGGATAATTCCGTACAATATTAAATAAATATTAATAAAGAAAATGTTTAATGCATATTTAATTATTTTACCATAATATTATTTATATTACTGAAAAATCAACACTAATAACTGATTTCCGCTCAGAATTATTTTTCGTGAGCAATGGTTTATCGTTGCTTACATATACACAATCAGTTTTCATCTATATCCTACCTTTTCTCACCTACAACAGCGGCTGCACCTACGCGCGAATTATGTCCGTTTTTTTTTATTCATTTATTTTATTTGACCTTGCTCAGTTCTGGCTCTACTTAAAACTGACCACACAGTCCGCGTGAAGTCAAATCGACATGTCAATATGGTACAGGAAAGTCGACCAATGTAAAGATTTGTACTCCTGACGCCTAGCCGTTTTGATATACCTCTATACCCGTTCTGTTGGAATTGCTGGTCCTATAACGGATGCCTCGATTTCAGTCTTGTCTGTGAATGTAATATTAAATCTTTGTTCAATTACAAAAGATTACTTTTTCATTAATAATGCTAGTAAACAATTATACTTTAATTGAAAATTATACGGACGTATTACAATAATAATTGCGTGGTATGATAAATTTAAAGTTTTGACTGATAATTAAAAAAATGACAATTAATACGCAATCATGCAGCAACTAGAATAAAAATGAGATAAACCATTTCTCCGGTTTCAAAATTATGATTTCAACATGTATGAATATAAATATTTCAGAAAACTCAACATGTTATGAAATTGATTACCTAAACCTCATGTATTGAACATTGATTGTAAACTTAAATACAAATAGCTTTGCTTTAATAAGGTAATTGTTAATTTTAGGAATCGCCGTGCTTTTAAACAATGCATTATCGTATTTTATTTTAATTGAAATATCATAAATAAAATATCTCAGTTTTGGAGTCACGACAATATTGGGAGTACGGTCGATGATCACGCCACTAACGTTGCTGAATATTAAAATAATCGTACTCACCTGCGTATTGGATTTAAAATAATATTGATCGGATCACCGCGGACGATGGAAGAATATACTTAGCAGCTGAACATCGAATGTTTTTTTTCTCCATCAAAAAAATATGAGTGTTTTGTAACAATATAATATAATACGACTACATACAACTACTAGAAATTTTATGTGATGTCACACGTGTATAATATACGTCTCGGTGATGTTATTGTGTATTCTTCTCCGCCATTACCCTCCGTCTTTTTCGGTAATGGTTACGTTATGATAATGTTATATTATATTGTATGTATCTCTCGGGTCATACGACGGATGGTATACATTTTTCGCAAAGGTCTGAAAAATTTGATGTTTATATTATTTATTTAAGCCCGACACAATATCTGTAAAATACATGAAACACGATATGTCTTATTGACAACGAAATTATTTTTTCGTCTGTTGGCTTACAGTGTTTTGATAACCTAACTCAATTAAATACATTGTTTTCGAATGTATAGTTAACAATATCATCACTAATGAAAAACTATTTTAAGTGGATTTCGGTTGAAAATGATATTATAAATATAACCGAAAATTGTATTCATTTTTAAATAGAATATAAATTACAATTATTAGTCTTTTTACTTATTAGAATAAATCAAAAAAATCACATAGACCATTGTTATACCAAGAAACATTCTTAGCTTCTCTCAAAGTTCATAAAAAACACCCATAATGGTAAAACTAATACATTTCTAGCTGTGCTCAGAATCTAAATTCAAAATAAGTGACTCAAAACTGCGTTATTACTGTACTGCGTAAACAATCCAGTTTTTTGGTATACGTCACTGCAGTCCGCCAAGATTCACTCGATTTTCCTGAGGTGGGATGTCATACGAATTGAGACATTGGAAGTAAAAACTCAGCCGATATAAGCGCGAAAAAAAAGTGAAGAAGAACGTCGATTTTCCGAAGTTATCATTCCGAAATTACAAAAAAAAAAAAAAAAAAAAAAAAAAAAAAAAAAAAAAAAACGATTACACTAATATTGCTGTACTGAAATGTTATTTATAGACATGGGACAAAAGTAAAAACGTACGCATCGGAGTAAAAAATCGGAATCAATGCATTCTTCGGCAGTGCGTTCGGAGACTAAGAGTGAGAAAAATATGGAAAAGAGTCACGTTGAAATGGACTTCACGTCCACGAAAAACCATCGTTTGCGTGGCTGTGATTTCGACTGGTGATTTCGGTATAATATACTGCCCGAGAATAGTCATATAACAATATTCAATAGGTGATTCAATCGGTGTAATAATCGGTCCGCGAGACAATAATCTCCATATTATTATTTCGACCCGACCTTTATAGGTTAGAAAGGACGGCATTTAAACAGCTGAATTAAGTCCCGGACACGTCCGTTATTAAGAGCATCATAAATTCTCCGCGGACGGACGAGCGGCGAGAAAAGTAATCGCACGAAATTCGTTTATTCCGCCCAGGCTGGGAAATTAACCAGCTGGCGCCCCGGCCACGCGCCGACCGGATAAACAAGACCGGCACTATACTGTGTACGGTTTCGTTTTCAGTTTTCCTTTTTAATACTGATGTTTTCGCTAATGGCCGAACCCGATCGTCTTTAGCGGCGAACCGTTCAAAAAATTCCTCCGTCGTCGGCGCCGGTAACGTTTTTCAATCCCGCGTTGTTCGTTTAGTTCAGTATTTTACTATAAACGTCTGTGCATATTTCGCTTTTTTTCCGAACGGCGTTAACTCACAAGAATATAGAAACGTTCAAACAAGAACAAAAAAAAAAAAAAAAATGCAACCGTTACTATTTGAATTCGGTGTGTCGGCACTTACGAATGAACACCCGTGAACAAGGATAAACAAGATTATTGATTTGTATACTTTAATATGTGACGTGACCGATAATTGTTTTTATACTTGTTTTCGTTTATGCCCGATACGACTGATCACGCTACTAAATGTTCTGGGTTTTGAGTTTACGTCTATTACATTAATTTTGTTGGATCGGTATTACGAAAAGTGCGTATACATCCACTTCTCGCTTTGAATGTTTTCGTTTACGCGTTTCCGGGTTACTTTCCTACCTAGTCACAAACACCGTAGTCGTCGTTTACGCTCGCGAAATAATAACTATGCATGCACGACGACAATGTCCTATTGTCTAAAAAAGCGCTGCTATTTTAATTAGTAACAGTGGGCGATAGCGCATTCGCAGTGTTCTTAGTGTTTTATTCTTTTCTGAAATCAAAAATGAAAGGACCGTATGCAAACAAATGGTAAATAATTTGTTGTCGCAATTCAAATAATGAAAATAAAGTGAAACAATACGGTGTACTGCACGAATACCGTGAGTGCTGAAGAAAAACAAGTTATAGCGTTTTATTATTACAACAATGTAATAAATTATTATTTGAGTAAAAATTCAGTCAAAGAATATTTTACAAATAACGTAAAACGAATAGCGTGTTATACAAAACGAATTATCACGAACAATTTTGTACAGTTTTATACAGCTGTTTGGCAAATATTTTTTTCTCCTGTAAATTTAGTCGGGCACATAGGGGTTTTAGTGACTCCTCGTTTTATACCGGGAAATTTAATGATTAAATGCTATTTGTGCGCAGATATCCATTTCAATACTTTGTGACGGTTGTGACTAAACTGTACTACCGGGTAATTTATCGTAATTTTTTTGGAGGATTTTAAGTGAAATTGTTTTCTGTTTCAATAGTCATGTTATCGTTTAAGCTTAATATTTTCATGCCATTTTTAATTGTTTCTTCTACTCTGTACACCTTAAATAAGTACGTAATTTTGTTTTTAAAGTAAAAACTGCTCTTTTTGAACAATACATTCGTATAGTAGAACATTATTCTAGAAATTTGAACACGGATAACACTAATATCACGTCTATCGTTCATAAGTAGAAAAATAGGGAAGGACAATACATTTGATATCTATTTTTATACAAAGGTATCAAAATCTGAAGAAAAATGTTCTTTATTTGAATCTCTATTCAAAAAGGGGTACTTTTATTTAAATGAAAAAACAGTATTTACTTATTTAAGGTTTATGGAATAAGGATAAAATTAAAAATGGTTTTAAAATATAGCTTAAGTGATTATACATTGATTAAAAAAAAATAACAGAAATCAAATTCACTTAAAATCCTCTGAGAAAATGTCTGATTCGTCATCAAATTTTACCCTGTATATTGTTATTAACAAAAATGAATTGAAAAGTGTATAAATATATTTAGTAAATTAGCGAATACAGAGATGGCTGGGAGGTCTACATGAAAAATGAACCATTGTAAAATTCTTGGTATCCCGGTAGCACAATACGCGCCAGGATTCAATAAGAGTATAATAAAAATTACATATTTAGTTCCAGGAAAGAAGGACTTAACTCAATTTCGTATAGTTTAAAAAAAAAATCAAATTTAATTTTGAAAATCACTAAATAACATACCTGATGGCATAGTTAAAAATGACGTTAAAGTCGTTTAAAATGCCATATAACTATATGACTTATGCCTTTTTGGGCAATCAAAAATGTTTTGAGATATTTAAATATTTTTATTTGAACCTGTATTATTATACACTTATGTGATATACACCAACAGCAAAGATAAATAAATTACATGAGAAACAACTATAAAAAGACATCCTAGAATAATGAGGACGGGTGCAGCCACTGTTATAGATAATTTAATGTATACCTGTAAGCAACAATAAACCATTACTTACGAAAAAACGATTCTGAGCGGAGTTCAGTTGATATCGGTGCTTTTTCAACAATATTTATGTAATTTTATAGTAAAATAATTCAATAGGTTTTATATTTTTTCTTAAATAATATTTGTTTAATGTTGTACCAATTTTTCCAGTTTTCCTAAGTTCTCCCAGTTTTCCCATATTTTATCCCAGTTTTTCACATTTGCTGAAAAAGTCTTGAGAAAATCAAAAAATGAACCGTCCCTGAAAATATAAAGTACATCTCAAGTGAAATATTCTTTTAGAAACATTGCTGTCATTAAAAGTGGGAACTAAATTGCTGGGAGAAAAGTTGCGCACAGGAAAAATAAAATCGTTATATTTTAGTAATATATTTCGTACATATTCCCTTTTTTTTATGGTTTTTCAAATTTGATGAGAAAACTCTTAAGAACATCAAAAAATTACCTTCTTAAAGTACCTCTCCACGCCGATTTCTTTTATTTAAATAAATATCTTTGTAAAACTATAAGTTTCTTCGTTCCACTCAGAATCTAAAATTAATGCCAACAATTTACTAAAACTCTTCTTCTTTTTCTTTTAATATAAAGTATTCATACACGGAAAACGTGTTAATACGAGTATGTATTCTGACACATAATTTTAAAAAACCGTAAATGAAACCTGTCCGGTAGATTTCGTATTATTTTTTTGTTCAAAACCATTGCCATGGAATTAGTCACAAGACATATAAAACCATTTCTCGAAAGTTTTGATCGGTGGAATATAAATGAGAATATATACACATGTATGTATATACACTTAGGTATATACTCCTTTTATCTCGATAAAATGTCATCTAACTTTTTCGTTAACTTTGAGTGGCGTTTCTATGCACATGTAATCATGTAGGCACATTAATCGTTTGAGAAAACACAGCAGCTAGTATATACAGATACCCATTCTTTAGAAAGTAATTTAACGCTCTGAAACAGTTTAGTTCAATTTTTACCCAATAAATTGAAGACATTTAGCAAATAAAAACATTATAAAAATTACTTTTGTTCCGTTAAAATTTAAATTTACAAAAGACAATATTTTTCCAGATTAAAACAATTTGTTCGTATATGCGAATTTGAAATAATTTTGTTCGTATAGTTGCTCGTTTTTTTTTTCATTTATGGGGATACTAATATAGATTTTGTTTTTGTCTTTTTTTTTTTTTCATTATTATTATTATCCTCTGCGGAGTTCTGGAATGATTACTACTTTATTACTTTAGCCAGATGGTGCATTGGTTCGATTTTTTTTTTTTTTTTTGGAGGCCACTACTCTGTAATTTAGAATTCATCGCAAGAGTTGCGGAATTGTCAAAACTCATTCCGACAAATTTGGAAATGTTACGCTGAACTTTTCATTAAAAATTAATTAATGCGGTTACATTTTGCTTTCTTCAACTCTTTGAACTCGTCCATTTCCACATTATACTCTTCACAATCTCTAATGTACGTTCCTGGGATACTTTCTATAATTCAAACGCAGCACAAAATAATTATTGTACGGTTAAAATATTTTATATCCAAAGAATTATCATTGTCTTCAAAAAAAAAAAAAAAAAAAAAAAGTGTTGTAATCTTGATTTGTATGGTACTAATGCCAAAAAAAACCTTGAAAATCCCAAATAGCAGGAGTATTACCTATTTTCTCTGGAAATTATATAATAGTCAAATATCTAAAAAAAACTTCGTAATCTCTAGTCTAGTAATCTCGTAAAACACGCGTACAGAGAAAATTCCAATCCCGTATTCATGGCCATTTTGTTGACATTTTGGAACTCTGTTATACCTGTGAACAGTGGACATATTGGAAATTCGATCCAAAAACCACGAATGTGATTTTAAGATCGTTTGTACGGATTTTCAGCCATACAATTTTAATTTGTACAAACTCCACAATACGTATTAAATATACTACAAATGTCTCGTATTATTTTTTTGTCCAATTCCCAACGGAAATAGAGACTATTCCAATCTGTTGTATTATACGTATATACCTACACATACGTTATACATATATATATATATATATTTCGTTACTATTGTGTGCATTTCCGGCGGATTCCTCGGGATAAATGAGCTCAAACTCGGGATTTATACCGCTGTTTTATAAGCGGATTTAAGTGATAAAAGTTGGATTACATTTAAATATAGATTTCATCATGTTTTTGCGGAAAGAACGTGTTTTTCAGCTTTGAACACACCCTGACAGACCCCACCCCAATGAAGCCGGGGAATGAAATTTTGTAAAGTATGCATTCCATTAGTATATTAAATTTGTGCATTTTGGGCGTTTTAAATTTCGATTTTCAACTTAACCTAACATTTTAATATGATATATACAAGTCCACGTTTCACAGTAGTCAAACGTAAAGAAAATAAATTATTCAAAAAAATGACAAACAGAATTAATATATCTCTAAAAAACGAAAGAAATTTTAAAATTGCGTAGTTATTTAATTTATCTGAAGGTAGATATGTGTGTTTGTATAACGGAATAACCATCATCTTCAGTTTATTAAAGTCGTTTAAGTCGTCTAGTTGGCTGACTTTTAAGTTATAGGTGTGCTAACAATCATTACGTAGGTACTAACAAACAATACGTCGTTATAGTACCGTCCGGTAAGAACAGCCCAACTGCCGGACGATAATAACGAAAAATTACAAACAATTCTTCATCTCCATAGGGCCATAATAACAATATTATAACGAAATAATTAACGCGTTTGCACCACGTCATCATTTAAGACGTAAAATATGTACCCAACAGCGAGAGCTAGAAAATATGATTTAAATGACGTAATAGTTTCAGCGAATAAGTTAATACAAATTCAATAAATACGAGTATATCATTAGTTTTTCCTTACCTATGTTTATTTCCTCGTTTATAACAATCATTATGTCGTATACTTACCTATTAGTAAAGTATGAAAATGCTTGGTACATATTTATTTGTTTGTGTACCTTATTCTCAAAAAATTATATGAATACGATTTTAATTAACATAGTTTTTTGACGTACATAGTAGTCGAGTGCTCTTGGTATTACCGCTGAAAAACCAAAAATAAAAGGTTAAAATATTGGAGTAGGCACTTTTAGATTTCAATCCGAGCGTTGTAAAACTATAGAATGTAAAGCAAATTTAATTAATCCGAGTCGTTGTAAACGCATAATATAAATAACATATATAATATGTCATGTATATTAGACTCGCAGTCTACTCGTGTAGGTATACTATAATAATATAATATTAAACTTCTGAATTATTCTGCGTTTGTTACAAGAGAATTTTTTTCATAACAATAATAAATTAAACGAATACATAATCCTTTCTGTTTTTGAACAAACATTCGAAATGCGAAACGAGAAATTCTGTTGTATACATATTCGTATAAATATAATATTTCGAAAATAATTGATAAGTGTATACATTTGTGTTTTTAAATAATATCACAGAGAAAAAAAAACACTCGTTTTACTACAGCAAAAATACGAATAGAGGAGTTTACAAGAAAATTATTGATTTTTTATTTTTTTTAAAAAGACTGCGCTGATATTTGTGTCACTGTTTTGTAGGCGAAAATCCCGAAAATTTGACGACATATTTACATAAAATAGGTAATAATAAGAATAATAAATAACTAATTTATTTTATAACATTTTATTTTCTGTCTTATCTAAGTTAAAAATTGTTAAAAAAAAGTAATTCACAATCTAAAATTAAACTTGAACACTAGATCAGCTTTGAGTATAGAGCGTTTATTGTCTGAAATATACAACAGGTACAGAGCATTCAAAATCAGGAAATTGATGGCCAACATAAAGATTCAACAGGATATAAAACTTATAAACAGCGCTATCAGAACGTATTTTAATGTTGAAAATCCAAAAATGGCCATTTAAGCAATAACACTTTTTCTATGATATAAATACGATGCACTATTATCGTCTTTTCTTCCGTCTAAGATTTAATTAAGTCAAACGAAAAATCATGGGAGATATTAAGGAAAAAAATAGGCTGCTCTAAATGTAACAGTGTAAAACAGTCAAAATAATGAAATATTGTATTAGAATTAATTTAAACAGTTCTAATGCGTTAGTCCACTGAAAAACTAGAGTATTGGCTGGTTTTTTTTTATTTTGTATATTTTCAGCCTATCCTAAATATCGTTTTAACCAATTTTCGCCAAAATACAAAAATTCCCTTTTTTTGTTATTTTAATCCTTTTGGAGCAAGTGGCTTACCTGTGAGCCCTCCCCCCCCGTGGGTCGTATAATTATATATGATTATATGTGGGCATTGTTATATATATATAATTTTTTTTTTTAAGTGTTAATACAATTATTTTGAATTTTTTTTCATAAAATCATTAATAATAATTGATAACATGATAAAACCCAAGATTCTAAAATATTTTTGTTGTCTATGGCTGAACAGGGTCAAAATACATAGTGTTATCATTTTGTTTTGGCGGTTTGACTTTATCCGACCATAGATAGTAAAAACATGTGATAATATATAATCTAATACAATAATTATTAAATATTTACATAATTGGCATTGGCTTATATTTTTAGGTAGTACCTATCTCCTATTTTATAAATATTTACATTTACTATTTGCTTTATGTTTGTGCTGTAGAAAAAAACACGGCTGTGCTTAAAAATGGGCCACGATCGTTTATGCGGCTTGCACTGTTGCACATAAACCAAGAAATAAGTATACCATTGGATGAATTTATTGAACGATTTTCTCGTATGAAAAACCGGAGGTTAAAATTTGTGTTTTAATAACATTAATTATAAAATTATTTTATAATATGCATCATATTATATTATATTAAACAACAATCTCTTTTTATGTACCTAATAAAATGTTCTATTTAACATTTAACAAATATACAATTCCCGTTATGTTAAGTTAGACGTAAAATGTTAAGACATTTTCTATTTTAACAATGAGTGAAAATATATTTCGCCCTATGCCGTAAGAGAAACCTAGACCTAGGTACACCACTGGTGAATGCATCAGCAACCATTATGGATTTCGCAAGGGACTGTCAATCATGGACGCGTTGAACCAACTCAAAGGCAACGTGTAGGCAAAAGGAAGGTAGAACTACCAAAGGATGATCACAATTGATACCCGAAATGGGTTCAACTCTGCACCATAGGGCAGGTAGAAACGTTGTTCATAGGAAAAAAGAAGACCGTAATATATTTTAATTAATTTACACATTTCTTATATTTTCCCATTTTCCACCATTTTTTTTTTGTTTTTTCAAATTTGATGAGAAAATTCTGAATATCGGATATAAGATGTTAAAAAAAAAAACAACCGGCATTTGACTTGATTTATTTGGAGAAAAATGTCTAAAATATCTTAAGAATATGAAAAAGATATTTAAAAAATACAGGCATACTTTGTACGATGTAAGGGCCACAGTTGTAGGTAAGAGGTTGGAAAGGTAATTGTAACAATCCCCTGGAAAATCGAAAAATGATTTTTCCAAACTACCATCTAGATAATATTTTCTTTCAGAAAAGTTACTATACTTAGAAATCGAAGAAGAATTTCTGGTAGAAAATTTGTTCACAGGTGAAAAAAAAAAACACCCTTTGGTCCAAGTCCGAAAACCGATTGAAAAACCCTCCGAATCTATTAAGTGGGTTTCTAACCGATTTATCGGTTAATTTTATTGTCAACTAATGATTAGGTGAAAATCATAATTTTTTACTTTATGCGGTTATGTATCAGATTTCTACAAGATGTATTGTGTTTACATACATATAGATAGTTATTAAGTATATGTTATGTGTAGTGTTACATGCTCATAACGAAGTTACAAAATCGCATGCAAACACTAAATAAAAACACCTATAAAAAAATCTTGTCTGCGCCACTGATGTTTAGTTATATTTCATCTTAACCAAATAAAAATAAACTATCGCATTAACCGTACAGTGTTATTCAACGAATTAAATTCACCAGACCTGAGCTGCAGGTCGCACAAATGACAAAACATAACGTGTTGCTATGTTAACCTCGGTTTATTTACATAGAAATCGTAAACTCAACTACGTAATACGTAGGTATATAATATTATTGATAAGAGTGCGGAAGCATAGTTCACTGTGATTATGGCGAAATACGTACCATCTACTGATGACGGTCATTACTATTCGAATCCAATTGCCGCTACCCGATTACTGGGTGAGACGATCGTCCAAGTGGAAAACGAACCCGGGAAGTTTGACATTTCGACGCTCCACTTCAGGGCCCAAAAATACTTGGAACAAGTCATCGGACCCAGACGTTCCGACGAAGAACCGGAGGCGTACAAGGTTCGAGTGTTTACCGAATTACTGAAACAGTGCACCGAACACCACAGGGACGGTGTGGCTGAGGTGATTTATGATCACCGGAACGCGCTCGCAACGTACGCAAAGGAAGCCCTGGAAGCGGGCGACCTGGAGACGGCGGGACGGTGGTGTTCAGATTTGAACGCGAACACGGATCCCAAAGACCCTACCGGTTGGGTGTTGTACGGTACGTTTTGCGCACGGAAACAACGGTGGGACGAAGGTCTAGAATGCGCGCGGAAGGCCATCGCGCTGGACCGTCACAATCGGATAGCGTTGTTTTTAAACGCGGCCCTCTTGATCACCATCGATTCGGAACGGTACGAAGAAATTGATACCCTCTTGGACCATCTCGAGTCTAAGTACCCGTGGTTTTCCGAGGCCCACTTCCTTACGGCCGTGCACAGCGCCCAAATGGAAATGCCGGACCGTACTAACCGGTTTCTTTCGCTGGCCCGAAGGTACGTCAACGTGCAATCGGCCATCGGCTGGGCCGAGACCGCCGTCCTGGACGGAGTTTCAACGACTGTCTGGGACCCGGCCGTCGACCATGGCGGCGATCCCGCTCTGAAGTGCGCAATTTTCATGATCAGACTCGGGCTATCCAGACTGGCTCTTTTGTGTTTGAGGAACTTCGCACGGCACTCCGGCAATTCCGTCACGTATCACTATCTGATGGCCGTGTCACATCACAGACTCGATGAATTCCAGGCCTGTACCGACCACTTAAACGCCATGTCCGCGGGCGACGTCGAAAGCAACAGTCGTATCGGTCGGCAGCAATATTTATTGACAGCTCACAATGACCACGCGGCTGGACGACCTAGAGAAGCGGAGACCCGTTTCATCCAACTGTCTACTGAGCGTACACGGTCCCTGTACGGTTTGGTGTATTCAAGGCTGGCCGATTACATGGTCGCTTCCAGAAGATACGACGAAGCAACTAACGCGTTATTTCGGGCTTGCACCGTGGTGACCGGTCACGGCACGCCGGTTCTGTTGACCAAGCTGGGCGCGTGTCTTATCGCGCTGAAAAAATACCCGGAAGCGGAAAAGGTATTGACCGAAGCCGTGGCTTTGGACGGGGCCCACAACTGTGATGCGTGGCACTATCTGGCCATAGTCTACGCGAGATCCAACCGAACCGACATGGCGAACGCCTGTGGTCAACAAGCAGCCGGGCTGATAGAGTTTAAGTCCATGCTCGGACCGGAATATGATTTATTGGCCCATAAATACCACTGAAAGGTCATTATTTTACTTTGATTAAATTTGCTCGACTCAAACGACGTCGCGTCAGAAAAATGACCAAGCATACCTTTCAATTGTTTTGATTGTATTTAATCTAACGAAACCGGCATCTAATAAGCCCGTTTCCTAAGTATGCCGGATATCCTGCTTCATTGTCCGGCACGTCTAGACGACACGAGCCTGTTTTGACGGCGCTTGACAGTAGCTACTCGGCGGATTCATTCGCAGCGCGAAGCGAAAACGTGTAAATTCTCGTATAGTGGTGAGTGCGGGAACTCCCGCGTCGTGGTTCTCCCGGCGATGGATCGAAACTACGGGGTTTTCCCTCCGCACGGTTAATCGGGTACATTTTCGCGTTCCGACCACTGGGCCGTATAACGAGGGATGTCCTCGGCTTTTCCCGCTTACCTCCGGTAACGGAGATTGCGTTGACAATTGTTATTCGGGAGATTCCCGGTCGCCCCCGGTGTGAACTGATCGTTAGTTCAGTAGCTGGGTACCGAGATATGACCGGCTCTTGACATTTACGGAGAGTAGGTCGAGTGGCTTCTGAGCCCCGGTGCTGACCTCGCGCGGGTGCTGAGAGGAAACCCCGGTACCGTGCGGCAGGATTCGGCCGGGCTCACAAGTGACGCCAGATCGTGGTTAAATAGCTAGAGGAAACTATCACCCGATAGTGCGGCAATACCGTGAGCAGACAGTTCGCACATCGAGTAGCGGATGTGGGGACCGGGGTCTAATGCATTCAATGTATCTGGGACATCGCACCGTGCTTCCCGTCGGTTCGTAACTAGCTCCCAGAGCTAACGCACGGTCCTGCGGTCGGTAGTTTTAAAATCGGGGTCTGACTGTTGTCTTTATAGAGCGGCCTCAATAAGGATGTACGCCAAACTCTATTGTTGAATCGTTGAAACGACACGTACAGAAATATTGATACGATTACTTTTTGTCAATTACATAATTCTACGAGACGCCGAGACCATCCAGAAAAAACAATTTTCAAAAAAAAAAACTCTTCAATTGTTAATACATTTTCGTTCAGATGTCCTTGAGATCTTACGGTACATAATACAATGATATTCCGTCCTCGGTTTCACTCTTTTTATTTTACATTTTCTACGTAAATCATAAATATACAACTTCAACAGACTTCTTCCATTTGTATGACTTCCCAATGTTGTATTCTTTCTTCAATATTGTTCTTAATATTACTTCATTTGTTAATCTGTGACACGGCCATCCGTTTTAAATAATTAATAAATACAAAGAGAACATCCGAAATGTCGAACATTAATTGGTATAGTAGAATTCCAAATATCCGGACTAATTAATAGTTTATGATAGTCCGGATATGCAAATATCCGTATAATTGAAACGTAACACATTACATGTTATACGTATGGATTGTGTGTAATACCATATGACTTAATCGGTTTTGCCCGAGTAACTTAATAGTTTATTTAGGTCATAAATAAATATAATGTAATTTAAAATCAAACTCGTAAAAAAATTTTATTATAAAATTCTAGAATTTTGAATTAAGGTAGAAATAAAATTCAATACAAATAAGAGCTTATAGGAATTTTCGTTTGGAAATCAAGTTTATAGAGCTTTTATTTAATATTTGTCACTTGTAGCAAAAACAAAAAAAACATTCAACACGCGTACTAATGACAGTTTTACGGATTCCAAACTGAAAATGAATGAAAGATCAATATTTTAAAAAGAAATACGAATTCAAGTTGAAATTATAATTTAAATACTTTTTTTTTTGTCTTGCGCATCCGAATAATTGGGCGTTCGAAAAATCGGAGTTCTACTATATTATTGTAAATATATATAATTAATACTTTATAAAGATCTCTTAAGCCAATAATTTTGATATTATTAACAACGAACAAACAATAAATTGTGTTGTACACGTATACGTATAATTAATATGAAGCGTATCGGTACACTTTTAAAAGTTTAAAATAAAAATTCTATTGTGTCTATTGTGGAAAGTTAGCACGGCTGTAAAAAGTAGAAAAAAGATTGACAAGAGTTGATAATTAATTTATATTTTATTTTTATCTCGTAAAAAATTAAACGTTAGGTAACAGTATTAAAATAAAAAAAAATCACTAGAAATTGATATTAAAAACTTGTCGTTCCTCGTCCTTTTGATTCTAATTATGTTTTCTACATAAACTTCATTCGCGGAACTCTATCAACTACGAGATTCGAATTGATTATTTCGCATTAATAAAAAACAATCATTTTTTTTTTTTGTTGTTGGCGTGAGTTTTTTTTATATAATTATCAAAGTTATATTATTTAACCACTAAACACGCTTATCCAGTAATTATTCAACGTTGAATAAATCTATATGATATTTTTTAAATGAAAAGAAAAGCTGATATTGCTTTTAGGAGTGCTACTGTTAGAGATGGGAATTTAAGGTAGGGTAAATAAATTTATTTTATGTGCTCCTTTAGTTCGTTGGTAATCAAATACGATTCCGGGTGATATTCGGTTATATATGTTTACCATAATATTTGTACAATTGTCGTAAAAATTTGAACTTAAAACTCACATATTAAAAATGACTTAAGTGCAATTTTTTTCCGCCCTATAAGTGAAAGTACATAATAAATTTAGTTTTAAATTTTCAAGCATATCTGTTAGCAAGATCAATTTTGTTCACGTCAAACCAAATAAATATATGTAAAATATTATTATATATAAATAAATGTAAAATGCCTATAAATAAGTAAAAATATTATCAGAATGTTTTAACAATTTTACCATGTCTAGAAAATACTAATTAGAGTATTCTATCTATTTCAAATCTCTGTAATTATTTTAAAATAAATTACAAAAATAAAAAAACCAAATGAAAAATAATGATACCGATTTTTCTGCAACCTTCTCGGTTTTCCTATGGGTTTTTTCCCAATTGTTTGAAAAATCAATAACATATCTTTTTAATGTTCAAACTAGACAGCATTGTTTTCCAGAAAAGATAATAACCGGAACAATATTAATATTAGAAAAACGAAATCGAAAATAATATCACCTTATCACCGTAAATGTACCAGTTTTTCTTATTTTTATGAAAACTACAAAGAAAATCGAAAAACGGTAAAAAATTTTGTTCAGATATAAAAAAAAAACACAATTTAAAACGAATAACACATTTCTCATTCCGTCCAGAATCTAATAAATAACCAACGAACGTTTAATGAATTGAATTTAAACGCGTACAAATTGTATTAAAAATAATAATAATAGTAAAAAAATGTCCCAGAAATCTTTTTCGTTTTTAATTAAAACAAATTTTAAATTCTTTTCCCCACTGTTATTTCGTTAAAAACACAACAAATTTGTAGTGTTTATTAGAATCGAATTTTTTTTTACTATTGTATAATTTAATCTATACACACTTTATGGCAGGTTTAATATCTATCATTTCTATTTTTTTTTATTTTATTTGAAATGCACTGTTAACAATTTAGTTAATAATACAAATTAAAAATAAAGGACGGCTATACTTCGCACAAAGGTGCAGTCACTGTTGTAGGTGGAAGGTTGGATACAGACGATAATTTAATATATATATATCTGTAAGTAACGATAAATCATTACTAACGAAAAACGATTCTGAGCGGAGTTCAGTAGATAGTGTTGCTTTGTCAACAATAGGAAAATGTCCGTTATTTTCCACCAAGTCATTTCAATAATTTTTAAACAGCACTCATTAGCTGTAACACCTGACGTTGAGCCCAGTTACCTCTCCCCCCCTTGTTAATGATTTAAAAGCTGAATTGAGAAAAATAATATATTTCAAAAACTAAGTAAATCAATAAAAAAAATATTTGATTAAACTTGTACCTCTTTTTGTTTAAACCGTTTTACCGAGGTTACCCACCCAGACATCAATAATAACAAAAAAAAAAAAAAACGTAATCATCAGTATATCGAAAATGCTACGTGAGCTATCAATATTAGTGGTTAAGTTTCAAAAATCCGATTTTGTAGTGCACACAGTTTCTGTAGAGTACTATTGTGGATTGGATTCGGTTGTAGATCGCACATATTTTATAGCAGGGGTGGCCAAACTTGTTTTGGTAAAGGTCTACTAAGAACATATTTTTCTTTGAGTATTAACTACTTGACAAAAATGTATACTATTATAGATCACAAAATATAAAGGTTCTCAAACTTTTGAGATAAGTGTCGCCTTTCATACAATTTTATGATGCCATGCTCCCCCTCACCATAATAAGATTGAATTATGTTTAATATATATCATATACATCATTCCTTTAATGTTGGTTATTGGATTTATAAACGAAAATCAATGAAGTTACTTTAGATTCTATGTGGAGCAAAGAGTTAAATTTTGTATCCTTCTGTATCCTACATTACCAATTTCCCAACAATAATAGTGGCTGTACCCACATGACAATGTATGTCCGTTTTTTTAAATATTGAATGAATTTTTTTATTAGGAAAAAAATATTATTATCATATGAAATTATTAAAATAAATTATATTATATTCACATTCTTAATATTACATTTTAAATTTATTATTATTAAGTAGATACAATTTAATGAAAGAGTTGGCACGGTTTAGTTCCAATTAATTTTTTAATGCTTGGCAATAACTGTCATAACTCACATTTCCGGTCATATTGCACCAACATTTTCACGCCTCCTTAGGAGAGCGCCCAGCCAGAATGATAACCGCTAACCTCGTAGTTATTAATAACTAACATACATGAACAAAATAATAAGACTAAAATGTATAGTTAAATAATGTTCTTCATCGCGCTTTTTCTATGACTGATATAATATTGTAAATATAGTTGTCAATATAAACGCTGTTGAATTGTATGACTTGATAAAATGCCAACAAATAGTAATCATTGAATTCCGCTTAATGTGGGTACGTTGGGACCAACCCTATTTGCACACATTAAGCGGTTTCCCGTAAAAACCGAAATTAAT